AATGGACAGGCGCTTAAGGGAGAACAGTTTGATAATCTAGGGGTAATTCTCCGGTAAAATCACGCCAGCGAACCTGGCACGATCGATCCTTGGCAGTGTCCTTGTTAATGTGCCACCAGAACCCGAAAACTAGTTGTATGGACAAGAAAACGGAGAGCACTAAAAATGTCTATTTGTTGAGTAAACTTATTACAACGGGTATATATGCAAGCAAGGGACTTGTCGTTTTGCAGGTACAGTTTGATAAATCCTGTTGTAAGTCCGGATGCAGGTTTCATGTTTTCTGCGCTGTTGAAGCAACTACACCGATTCCTGAATATCGGTGCGTGAAAGGCCGTAAAGTCCTGAGCGGCTCTGCTCCGAGTTGGGCGACGTGCGAAGCCCTGTTGAGTTGTGTTGTGTAGCTGTGCTGGCATCCTATTTGTAGGACGTTTGCGTGTGTTTGGGTGTCAGCACATGGCTTTTTGCTGCCGTATCGGACGGTAGACGGTCGATATCGGATGTGTATCGTGGTTTGTACTATTAGGGAANAAGAAAGCGAGCCTTGGGATCGAAGGATTGACTGTGAGCTATGCAGTCCAGTTGGTCACGATTCTGTGGCGTGATTTGTCAGTGTAAGAAAAAAAAGACAGATCTCGTGATCTAGCGAGTTTTAATGTCCTGTACAGGCCTGTGTGTGGCGAAAGGGTAGCTACATCCTCACCAAGCCTGAGTGATCGCTCCACGCAGAATGGTTACGCCAAAAGAGAAGCAAGCAAACTCTTGGGCTTCTAGTCACCCTTTCCTTCCCATCTGCCGAAGAGAATATCTCGGAGCGGGCTGCCAGCATTCAAAATGTCAACCCAATGATCAGCCGTCCATATGAGGATTGCCCTCTAGACGCGCGAAACCTTGGTCACAGCAAATCAGGGGTGGAGGTATGAAACAGGCTTCCGCTGGACACCAATTCAGCCGACCTTAAACTCATGACCAAGCCGACTGTGGTCATAACACCCTGTGCTCTCGAAAGCGGGCGGTGCAACCGGCCGCGTCTCCAGGCAACAGTCAATATTCGGCCACCACAGACCCCCCGTCCATCAAAGGCAGTGATGCCCTAGAGGAGGCAAACCTCATATGCAAGCAGCGCCCAAAGTACGTGGAACCATCAACGGTTATTTCCGTAACGGAAGACACAGGTGCAGCCACGTGCTCCTCACCAAAGCCACAACCTCTGAACCGGACAGAGTCAGATGTGCGGGAACAGGTAGCGAAGCCAATCTCCGGCTCCACTCCGTCAAAAACGGCCTCTCTGCTTGTAAACTCAACCGTTGCCCAGGAACCCGACAACCAAAGCCATAAACGTGACCACAGCCAACAGGAAAGTCCGCCGTACATTCAGTTGGCCAGGCTGATTGCCGAAGGATCGGGTGTACTCACAAACACGAAAGAAAAGCGACTGCGGCAAAACACGCCACATAAGATTCCCGAGATTAAAAAACTGCTGCCTGGCTTCAAGGTGCAGTACTCCACGAAAACGAGCTTCTTGGGAGCGTCACCAAAAGCACCACTTCTTGGTGCCACCACCCAGCGCTCAGGCCTCACAGAGATACCCTTCCGGTCAAAGCGTGCCAACACACACGAGAATCCAGGAAGGCGAAAGTTTGCCGCAAATCTTTAGTCAACAGCAAATCTGGTTGCCAAAAAGGTGGTGCTCTAAGAACTACAAGCAAGGGCGGTCAAAATTTTCGTCCACGGGAAAAACTTCATCACCCAAAGCTAAAAGGCCCGAGAAAACTGGGCTCTCACGTGGCGAAAAAAACCTTGCAAGCGAAAATCATCCCCATAAATTTTGAAGGCAGGAAGCAGACGACATTGCCCCAGAGACCATTTTGAAGCCTTGGATGCTAACCGGGCGCACAACTATTAAGTCTGCTAACCTCTCTGGTCACTCAACTTTCGGCTCCTCACCCTCGGGGGCAGCAGAGACAGTGTCGAAATACTTGTCCATAAACTGCCTCAGCCTTTTCAACAAACTCGGCGGTGTTAAACAGCCAACCTGCCCTGAACACCCGTCCATGATCGCACTCACTGAGACCTGGACCACACAAAATGCATCTGACGTGGAGATCTCGATAGTCGGTTACTCTATTGTTCGAGCTGACTCAAAACGAGGGCGGGCTGCTGTGGTTGCTCTGTACTTACATGCGGCCCTATGAATCCCAATTGTCCTCTCTGGTGCCACTCCTGCACCATTCTGCGATGCACTGTGGGTCCGAATCCCGATGCGTGGGTCCGATTCTCTCATTCTCGGTGTGATCTACCGTAGCCCTTCGAGTCCCCCTGAAGATGACAAATTCCTCATACGAACACTTGAGCAACTCTCCTCCAACTACCACTTCACATATCTCCTTTTGGTGGGTGACTTCAGCGCTCCGGAAGCCACCTGGACGGAGCTCCAGCACGTCGAATCAAACGGATTTTTGCAGCGGCGCTAATTGAAGGCAATTACCACACATCCCGGATTCGGTCATCACCAACGAAAGGCACCTCGTGGATCAGGTAATAATTAACGCTCCACTGGTACGTGGCAACGACTGTGTGCTGGCCTTTGATTTCATCTACTATTGGGCTGCAAATCCCGAACCTCCAAAGTGGATTCGAAACTTCTGCCGCTCATTCTTCTCAGGAACGCGCATCCTACTTGAAATAGTTGGACTGGGACCAGCTTCAAGGGAAGAACTATATAGGACCATTGTCCGGGAAGTTCACGAGGCTGATGCGATGTTCGTGCCGAAAACACGAGCACGCACTCAGATGAACCACAGGCCACCTAAAAGGATTCGGCGTGTTGTGGAAAAGAGGTCCCAACTATTTTTCAAAAAGGCTGACTACAGGAGACATAGAAGATAAGCTGGCATTTCGTAAACTGCGGAACCGCTGTAAACCGGAAATCCGCCAATAGAACATACGAAAACAAGCCACCAGCCCGGACATTGCCCGCAAAATCAGAAATGTACTGTTCAAAAGCATGAGACAGCGCCACGGAAACACGCCATCCGCATTCTTCTTGATGGATAGGAACTGTGAACCCACGACTGACTCAACAGTTGTATCTGGGGTTTACGGAGAACAGTATGAAATTCTATATTCAGCCCCAGCGTCCTCGTTAAATTTGTATTCGGCCTCTAGCCGACTTGGCATTCACAGTGGAAGACATTCGTCAACTCTTGCACAAGATCAATCTATTCTGCGCGTTGGGGCCCGACAAGGTCTATCCAAGGATTCTGAAGTAAACGTTGTCCACACTGGCAAATCATTCACATCTGGTGTTCCTCTGCTTGGAAGGAGGCGACTGTCACGCCAATCTACAAAACTGGTGACCCCTGTCCCCTGGCAGCTATGGGCCTATGAGCCACACCAGCGTGCCGCGTAACGTAATGGAACGCATTCTGAAGCGTTCCACGAGCTATCTCCACTTCAACACGGATTTCTCCCAAACCGTTCTTGCGTGACAAACATGCTTCTGTTTATGGACAGCTTGACCCAAGCCAAGGACGAAGGACTCAAAACAGATGCCATATTTTTCGACTTCTCAAAAGCATTTGATAGGGTCCCACACGTCCCGCTGCTCCGCAAACTCGAGTCGAAAGGGATTCAAGGGGACTCCTTCATTGGATCAAAGCGTTCCTATCAGACAGATCGCTCCGAGTGAGAACAGGCTCGACCTTCTCTTCTCCAACGCCAGTCTCCATTTGAGTTCCTCAGGGCTCCGTTCTGGAACCAGTGCTGTCTTTGGTCTACGTCAACGACCTTCCAGATGTTCTTGCAAGTCCATGTCTACTTTTTGCGGACGACTTGAAATCCTGGACTTCCAAGGCCAGTGTCCTCCAAATAGATGTAGACGATGCCATGCATTGGTCGTTGGACTGGCACCTTCCTCTGAACGACGAAAAGTTCGACCATAAGTCGTTTGGAGGCAACTCAGCGAATGCCTTTGTCATGCATGGCGAGAAAGGACCAGAAAACATCATGAGGATAGATGCCAAAAAGGATTCGGGCATCTGGGTCTCTTCAAACCTGTCCTTCTCACTGCATCATGAGAAATCGGCCCAAGATGCATTCGGCATTTTACGGATGATCCGACGCACCTCCTCCCGTATCGCTTGCATGGACTTCCAAATACTCTATGGGGCCTACATCAGACCGCTCCTGGTGTAGGCCAGCCAAGTTGCCCACTCCGGACGCATGAAAGACGTCATCCTCATCGAGCGTGTCCAGCGAGCCGCTACGAGGATGGCTACTGGCCTCAAATCCGTGGACTACGAAACGCGTCTCGCGATGCTTGATCTCTTTCCCCTGGAGCACCGCCGCCTCCAAGGGGACCTAATTCTTACTTATGCTCTTTTTGAATAAAGTTTGGCAAACAGGTTTTTACCGTTGACCCAGCAAACAGCGAGGGAGGACTTAGTAAGAAATTTCTCAAGCTCAGAGCGCACACATTTAGCAAGCATAATTTTCCTCACTTCCGGCAGTATCTGGAATGACCTTGCAAACACCCGGCGAGGACTTAGTAAGAAATTTCTCAAGCTCAGAGCGCACACATTTAGCAAGCATAATTTTCCTCACTTCCGGCGGTATCTGCGTGGAATGACCTTCCCCCGACGGTTGTCCACGCTTCTTCTAGAACCTAGTTTAAAGCACTATTAAACATTTATTTATTCGAATCATCGCGCTGGCATGCATACTGCCCCGCGCTGAGAACATAAAGAGCAGTGTTACACCCTTTTTTCACTTGTGCCTTTTAGGTGAACGACAGCCACTGACCGACAATAACAAAAGTGACCCGGAAAACGTGGGCTAAAGCCCCGATCCTGTGTATCAATCCGCGAATACGTGTAAGTCTCGAAGTGATTATTAATTGGATCGGACTGAAATCTATAAGAGGCGCCAACTTTAGTTCGAAGGTCGTAAGGTAATGGCGGAGTACCTCGCCTCGATTTTCGGTACAGAAAAGGACAAGTATGTTTCTAAGACCTGACGAGCTTTTCCGTAGAGTTAATTGTTCTTTTTATTTCAAAATCGGGGCTTGTCGTCACGGAGAGCAGTGTTCACGACTTCACAATAAGCCATCATTTGGCCAGGTACGTCCGTCTACTATGCATGTCATGCTCTGCAGACAATCCTTCTTCAGAACCTTTACATTGCACCCCAGAACACCGCACAAAGTGCAGATGGATCACACAGTAAGTCTTAGTCCGTATTCAGTGGCCTTAGTGGCTTGGAAAAATCAATCTTTTCCCGTGTTTCGTATTGTTTTTCGTTCACAAGTAGACAGCTGATGGAAGGGAAATTGTCGGTTCTTACCTCTTTAGTTGTGGAGTGGAACACTTCCGTGCGGCCCGAAGGCTCCCAGCTAAACCTCGCCATGCATCCCAGAAAATGATTGTCGTGAAGCCTACTCGTTGGTGAACATCAGCACAGGCTTTCGGGAGACCGTTACCTCCTCCTCTTGACTCCTGTCCCTTTCCCGTATTCAGCATTTTCACCGCCTTAATGCTACCATTCCCTGAGGGTCCGTAGCCCATTGCTGTTTGCTGGGACACTGGAATAGATTTCCATTGTATGATGTCCCTCTGAAACATATTCGAGACCAAAGTCCGGTTGTTAAGCTGTCCCCCCATTCGGATGGCATTCCGGAAGACGCCTCTCCAGCCTCTCACCTCTGATGTGGCTGCACACAGCATGTGCCTTTTGGGTAACACCGGGCTCTGGTTGTGAAAGCGTTTCGGCTGTATTGAGTAATGCGCCGGTGGTCGCGGTCAGCCGTTCGGTGATCAGAGTGTGAGGTTTTAGGGCCGACTTTTTCTAGCCAGTCCTTATTTGGAGGGTGGAAGCATCGCTGCTTCCGTGAATATGGACATGTTGGTCGGTTGGGGGAAATACCTTACTGCCTTCATATTCCTATCGCAGATGACATTATGACTTCCCTGACAGACTCGTATAGTTCAAGGCCTCGCTGCTCTTTCTCTGCCTGCTCCCTTTTGGCATTCCCAGCATGATTGCATCTTGTGGAACGAATTTTCGGTCAGTGTACCCCGCGGGATCATTTCAGCACTTAAGCCCGACCGCCATGTCAAGGCGACCGCTATAGTTCTTTGAACGTGCTCCTTAAGGTGGTGATCATGCCTCAGAGATTGGCAGTGGACTTTATGGAACACTATAGGTATCTTTAAAGTCGCATTATCTCTTACGGTATTGTGATAGACGAAGTCACTGCATGAATCTAAGGGGCCCGAATTGCTTTTGCTAGTTTGCGCCGTTTGTGTTGTCAAGGTCCATATGTGGGGGTCTCAGAAGACCCGTGTATCACCACAGTGCGGGATGCATTATTGTAGGGCTTATACCGTCGCACAGAAAACGCCTGACAGTTTGCCTACTCCGGCAACCCATTGAGCTGTACTGGAAGGTGGCTGCATGCTTTATCCCTATTCTCGTACCAGATAGATCAATGAGTAGGGCTCTGGCTGACAATCTTCTGAACGACTATGTTGAGAGCTTGAACGAGTTTGGCAATTTTGTCCCCCTAGAATTTGGGTTACCCGAGCTGCCTCACACCTAGCACCACCGCCTTGTAGCCAAGTTTTTTTAACTGTCAATCTATTTATCAGCTATAAGCTGTGTGTCATAGGCACATTTGTTTCAGCTGCTGCAGTTTCGGTCACCGGAAGACGGAGAGTAAAACATATAACCAAGCCTTGGAGACGAAAGCATGTCCAATTTGTTCGGAAATTGGGTAGCTACGCATTGGGGCGATAGCTTTGATGCATGAGCGCCACTGACTGCATGATTGGGCCGTTTCCGCCAGTGTCGTTAACCATTGGTGATTGGAGCCTCGGAGTCCCCATCCAGGGAGGCGGCAATTACCCACCCGACTAAGTTTACTGGTTAGTGTTTTCGTACTTCGTTGCAAGATCACACACTGTCCACCTCTGTCGCTTCCGCTCTACTGGGCTGGACGAAAAGAGCTCTGCGAGGAAGACGGTCTTCTGGCATGCGAAGTACATGTCCCAGCCAGCGCAGCCTATGAAGCGTGAGTAATTCATCTATCGCAGGAGAGTTCCTCCTTCCTAAGACCATCTGGCCTACCTCAGCATTACTGATGCGATGTCCCCACCAGCTCTGACCAATGCTTCGGAGACACCAATGATCAAAACATCTTCCGTATATCTTCTGCGCGTAGGGGCCATGTATTTATCCACAAAGCAGTATAGATTGCACCATCGCAGTGTAAACCCTTCCCTTGATAGACAAGCTCACGCCACGTCAGCGCCAAAGGTTGGCAAAAGCTGCCCTGGCCTTTCCGATTCGAGAAGTAATCTCATCTCCAGTCAGTCCACCAGAACTTGTACAGTTGTCCAGGTAAACAAATTCATCTACCACGTCGATTGGCTTACCTGCAAGCATGAGGCGTGGGTTTGATCCCACCCAGCCTTGTAGCAGCACTTTACATGGCAGGTGTGAAGCGCACGCCAAACTGTGCGGCAGAGTTATTTAGGTTATTTAAAGCCGTTTGTATTTTGGAAGGATTTGAACCAAGGAGAGCAATGTCGCCTGCATGCTCAATGTCTGCGAGGGAACGTCCCGGGAGAATTTTGACCCCGAGGTTTCGGAGGCAAGCAGAGGAATTTCAAGAAGCATATCAATAACAAAGTTGAAGAGGGAAGGGGAAAGGGGACAGCCTTGTCTTACACCACTGGGCGTGGTGAACTCACGAGGAAGCATGCCGTATGCCGCGTCCACAGATGTTCGCATACACTGCCTTTATAAGGGATATAAATATGAAAGGGACGACTTTGATCGCCAGACACTGCCAAACGTACTGAAGATCGACAGAATCAAAAGCAGCTTTCAAATCCAGAAAAGTTACCAACGTGGGACGTCTGAAGTAGTGGCGTTGTTCAAGGACTTGTCTCGAGGTGAAGATATGGTCTATGCATCCTCGACCAGGGAGAAACCCAGCTTGATTCTGACGAATCCGTCTCTCCAGGTAATCCACCAACTTGCGCAAAATAATCCCAGGGAGCACTTTAGATGCAACGGATACCAGGCTAATACCACCATGGTTTTCACATGACGTTCTCGCTCCCTTTTTGAAAACTGGGATGACGGTCGAGGACCTCCAATTGGCTGGTATTCTGTGTTCGTTCCAAATCTTCTGCAGTATGGTTGTCAGACTGTTCGCCAGGACCTCGCCACTTTCTTTGAAAAGCACGGGATGTAGAATATCCGGGCCAGGTGCTTTGTCGCACTTCAGGATTGAAATCTCACGCTGGATTTCGGTTGCTGATGGTTGGTCGGTGTCACTGTTCCACCCGGGCCCGCTTGGTTCTTCCAGTGGTTGCGTTGAAGGAAACCAGGTGAACTGTTCTTGGAAGTGCTCAGCCCACCGCTTAAGAAGGCGATTGAGGGAGTGAATTAACGTTCCCTCTCTCGCATATTGTCGCACTGCCACCTGCATTCTTTTGACCCGTCGATTGGATCAGTTTAAACAGAGCGCGGCTGTTGCCTGCAGCAAAAGCCTTCTCCATCTTCCAGGCTTTCGGAATCCACCAGCGTTCTCTCTTATTCTTCAAGCTCCTGATTATCCGGTGTTTGAGGGATCCGCGTGCCCCATCACGGTCCTTAGTTGCTGGTATGGCCTTTCTGGCAGCAATAAGATCTGATGATCTTTAAGATATCCAGTGTTCATTGGGTCGAGTCGGATGGGCTGGACAAACAGTTTTGAACGCTGACAGCATTGCTTCTCTAACTCACCTCCATTCATCCTCCAAGCAATCTTCGTCGTCCATGTGACTGCGTTTTCAGTAGCTTTCTAGCCAGATCAGCTCGATACTCTTCAGCCACTGAAACTTATCGAAGTTGATGAACAGAGCTGCTCTGTTTCGGCACACATAGCGCTGGCGGTATGCGAAGCGCTACGTGGGCCCGCGCGATGGCGTGATCAGAGTCAAGTTGCGTACCACAGAAGGAACGACAGTCCTTAACTGAGGCTCTCCATTGGTAACTGATAGCCATATGGTCCAACTGAGTCTAGGACTGTCTTTCGGTAGATAGCCTCCAAGTAACTCGGTGTGTGCGTTTTTGTTGGAAGTTCGTACTAGCCACGAACAGACGGTGATCTACACACAACTGAAGAAGCCACTCCCCATTACCCGTACGTTCAGCATCGACTCCAAGTCGACAACCTAACTGTGCTTCCGTACTTAGTCGTCCAACTTGGGCATTCATATCACCTGCCAGTATTACTACATCCGTCCTTGCTGACCGAAGCAGTCGTAGCAGATCGTGATAGAACTAGTCCTTTTCAGTCTCAGAACTGCTATCTGTTGGGGCGTATGCTGATACGACAAAGGAACATTGTTTACCGCAATCATACCGCAGAGGACAAAACGACTTTATCTCCAGACCGCCTCGTAATATGAGTACTCGCCGTTCAGGTTCGGTGGCTTCCAGCGATTGTGTTGAATGGACCGATTGAATTCTTCGTTACCATTCAGCCCATTGATAAAGACGGCGGTTCTGCTACCGAATCACTGCTACATCTACGGGATTCGTTTCGCTGACATGTTTTCCTCTGGCCGGTTGATCGAATCAGCTAAAATAGGACACAGCTGCTGCCTTCAGTGAAAACCATCTCCTGGGCCATCTCAATCAATCAGCGTTCTCTGTCATTCTTCAGGTTTTTGCTTATCCGACATTTGAGGCATCTATTGTTTCTTCCTGATCGTTAACTGCTGTTTTGGCTTTTGTACTAGCAATATTATCTGGTAGTCTTGACAAGATCCAATGTTCTTTCAGTCGAATCAAATGACTGGCAGACCGTACTAAAAGATCAGTTGATTATCCTCATTCATTTTCTTCCACTCGTCCTCCAACCCATATTCGTGATCGCCTGACCATGCTTTCCAGGCAAATGAGTTGGATGTTGTTGAGCTAATGAAACCAGGTGCAGTTAATGTACGGGATTATTCTGTTTCGGTTTGCGTAATCTTAACGTGAAACGGAGTGATAACCGAGCCCGCACAATGAAACGACCGGAGTCAGGTTGCGTAAGCCAGAAGAATGGTGGTCCTTAATCGAGGCTCTCCTTCGGCATTTGGCAACCAAATGGGTCAAGACTAGCTTGTCGTTGGTGGCCTACAGGTAACTCGATGCGAGTACTTGCGCAGAAACTTCATGCTGCCCAGAAGCAAACTGTGTTCAACACAAGTGAGGAAATCACCCTCCATTATCTATACGTTGGGCGTCCACTCTGATCCTATCACTTGACCCTGCTTCTTCTGGGCCTAATCGTTCAACTTTCACCTTCATAGCATTCACTAGGATGATTGTATCCTTTATTCTTGCTGTCCGGGGACATTCGTGGCCGATCTCCGTAAAACCCATCTTTCTCAGGTGACGTGCGTGTGTGCTGGTGAGCGAAAAGCTGTACCGGCAACTACTACTTCCCGGCCACTTAGACCCGAGGAAGAGAATTTGTTCGAGTTATTCCACCTTGAACCTGTTAAAGCCCGACAGGTACTTTAAGGGTGGATTTCAACTCAACAGTCTGACTGGCTTGATTTCATGGAATTGGCCCAGCCATGGTTGCCTCATTTCTGTTGCTCCTGCGCATATGGTATGCGTTTGTAGCTGCGTCAGGCTCGTGGCAGGTTTTAATCGTATTTCGACCTTATTGGATGATTCGCTGGCTCTCGTGGTCAAACTTCGGCAGTCGGAGTGTGCGGTTGTAAGAGCTGGCCTTTTGTAACCCACCTTACACGAGAGAAGGCAGCATAGTCGCTTCCATCAATGTAGGCATGCTGTCCGCCTAGAAGAAACAGCATACGCTTTCACATTCCTATGGCATAGAAGAGTACATCAAGGAATCAGCTTTTGGTTGAAATGTCCTACCAGAGTACTAGGTGTCCTGTAAGCCAAATGACGAATCACACTTGTTAAAACCGAGTTTATGTCTTTCCACACCACTTCGTCCAACGCATTCGTTTTTTTAGTTACTGAGCTGGATGTTTGCAACCAAAACGAGTATTTTAACAAACATGCACTTTCGCCTAGTTTGCTACTAGCCTCCACGAAAGTGATCATCACGTTATCCCGGTTGGTAATCCACCATCTGTCTGCAGCGTTTAGTCACTCAAGTCGGTGGACTGTAAAGACATTCTAGCTTATGTTTACATGTGTGCGATGTTGTTATACTCCTGGTCTTCAATTCCATAAATTTCTGTCCTCATCGCTTATCTCGTGCATTCCTATGTCGCATCCGTTATTCCAGTTAACTTGACTGAAGTGCAAGCGCAACAGATCTTTGACGAATTTTTTGAAGAAGTTTTCGTCGAATGTGAAGAAAAGGTAAGTATTGATCACTAGTTTTACTCCCTCTAGTACGGAGAAATTGAGGAAATGAACGTATGTGACAATCTGGGTGATCATCTCGTTGGTAACGTTTACATAAAGGTAAGTCGCTCAGTTTGATCTTTATGTGTAATATTTAACCCTAGTTCCGTAGAGAGGAGGATGCTGAAAAAGCAGTGCAGGATTTGAATCTACGCTGGTTCGGGGGTCGACCGGTTCACGCTGAAC